CAAAAATGACACCGAAAGAGCCCTCTCCTATTTTCTTCCCGACGCGATAGTGCACCCCAACAACGTTGGAGGACGACGAGGCCATGGTTGTGACGAATAATTCAACTGACTAAGTGGTATACCGGGATAGCGAGGAGTGAACTTGTTCGGCAAGAATGCTATTCTGCAGAGAAGGTAGGGCGTCGGAAGGGCTGTGTAGGTACAAAGTGCGAACGATGCCTTAGGGCGGTTCACACCTCCGCCACCGCGGTGACTGCAACAAATCAGTAAACACGCAACAGTACTTTTGCAAGTAGCAAGAAGTGGGAAGACGGGGCCATCTTACGCTTCTAAAGAGATCAAGCAAAGCTATCGGATCATGCGGCGGGATATTGTGGTGATCAATGGAGGATGAGGATAGGGAAACACCATCTGCAGGATGAGTTGGGTTTCTCGACAAGGAGTTCAGTCAGAATCGAGCAGCTCCTGCCAAGACTGCGCAGGGAGCCAGCAATGGCTGGATTACTCTTCTGGCTCAATGGCTACAACCGCAGCCTGCCACCCACTGGAAAATGTGGAACCTGGCACCCTTGCACCCTGGGATCAGGAACCCTGACTTGGCGCCAGATATCAGCACCTTTGGACCTTTTGCTGATGTCAAACTTGGAGGGTTGATCAGGACATGTGAGCAAGCGATATATAATGAGGGAGTCATGTACTGCACACGATGGACAACAAGAAGGTGAGAGATTAAGTGGGAGGAGGGGGGGAAAAGGAAGAGAACCAGTAGTAGTAGAGACAATACGAGTGTGCCTAGTACATAGCATTTGGTGAGTGTGAGCTGGCGGGTAGGTCGACTGCAAGTAGGCGTCAGTTGATTTTGCAACTTCTCCGTCCCCAGTAGCAGCCCATCAACCGCAAACCCAAGCATCAGCGGTGGGCGGTGAGATGGCTGTCCCCCGGCCTAATCCCTACAAGTGCGAGTGGCTTTTAGTGAGGCTCCAACCGGGGAGAGGGCGAGGACTCCATCCAGTGAATTTTGTACTTGCACAGGCGGTAAGTCCGACGCCCGGCTGCTGGGGCCTCACAATTAACCGCCAGAGCAAGTCTTAGGGCGCAGTTGGGCCACGGCAATGGCTACCCACACCTACCACCACCACATATTATCAGCTACTCGTACCTAGTACTTTCCCAGCGCACCCCAGACACTGATCACGCAAGGCGAGCTCTAGGCTTCCAGACATCCAGACTTCCCGGATGTCCCGTTCTGGCTGAACCGCCCAGGTTGAGCTCGGAAAAAATCAAGAATAGCAAAAGATCATGTAATCTCTACTCATTTCATCGTTCACACCTATTACATCTCTTGCCTCATGTCGCTGAAAGGTCGAGCGGCCATTGACATCTGGGCGGCAATAGTCCTGCGAAGCCTTGATTGTGCTTTTGACTGGCTCAGGATCCGCCACGCTTGATGAGGCGCCGATATCGTTGTTGACAGGAAGGCTAGAGATATGCAGATCAGAGCATGCAACCGAAGCTCGTCCTCTGTCGATCTTCTCCATACAATTACAAGTAGTCCAGCTTGCCTCCCCTTTTGGAAACCTCATCTTTGGAGTAATACAAGGTGCCATCTTCTCGAACATTACCCAGCCACCATGCGCTCATTCTTCGGTTACTCTGCATTCCATCATTCATTCTACCTCGCACATACATCCCCAAATCCAGAGCCGCCATGCCGACCATCCTGCAGTGACATTTGTTTGATTCTCGTACCACATGCGAGGTATCAAATACCCATGCTAAACAGTCCTCACTAATTTCATCCTGGACCCGCTTCGGACCTTCTTGTCTCGCCTCTCTTAGGCTGCGGTCATTTGCCAGGGTACCGAGTTCTAGGTACTTTGTTCGCTTCATTTCTTTGCCGACGGTGCTGTAGGAGAGTTGCCGCCACCTCGGGTTGACTGACTGCCAAAGCGCATCACCTTTCGAAGTGGGGATGGTGTGGCTGGTTGAAAGGCCAACGATGCCATTGTCGACTTCAGGTCAGCCGTATCCTTCCTCTTAAAAAGTCCTCCAAAATGTAAACTCTTACTTTTCTTCACCGTCCTTCCTTTGGGATTGTCCGTGTTGCCCTGTTGATTACCGCTACGTTGGTACAACGGTGATTCCGCCTGCGGTCTGCTGTGAGTAGAGGTTGTGGACGTGTTTTCGGACTTGGATTTCGAGAACAATCCCACACCACTCCTGCTCTTCTTTAATGTGCCGGCTTGTCCTTTGGCGGCGAGATCCTTTTTACCAGAGCTTTGGGCCGACACTGAATGTCCGTCTTGGTCTCGACTGCCTCCTGAAGGGACGGCCTTTGCTGAGCGAGGTGTATCGCGAGCATACTGGCTGAGATCTCCGAGAGAAGGTGAATAGATGGGGGCGTCTTCGAGTGAAGTCGTATCTGAGCCTTCACGGTCCTCGCTACTGGGGGTTGGTGTGTGTCTCCGCGGAAAGGTGAGAGGTGCGTTATGGTCAAGGGACAATGCTTGTGATGGTTGATCTAGGACGGATGGTGCTACAGCCATGGCTCCAGGCGGATGCATACGTAGCGGGTTGACTCCTCTAGGGTATCCAGCTATCGGCGCCGCAGGCACATAGCCATTCTTTTCAGCCGAAAACACCAATGGCGCGACCGCAGTCTGTCGGCCTGCCTGGTCTTCTTGGTTGGGCCCGAATTCTTGTGATTGAGAATTGTGTGGCCCATCATGTCTCGCTGCTGAGGCTGGCTTTTGAAGATGGGCCTTGGGGTTGGAACCGCACAAGAGATCTGATTGGGATGACGCAGCTATCGCTTGAGCGACTGGAGGCGCTGGCTTGGAATGCGAAATTGGTGGGAATTGCCGGCTCGTCTCATCTTGATCGTTGCCTCCTTTCCCTCCTTGCTTAGAATGGAAGAAGGAGGATCTGGACGTGAGGAAAGATATGTTGCGTGGCAGACTAGAGTAAAAGTCCAGTTTATCAACGGCACTGGCAAATGATCTGGTGAGTGAACCAAACCCAGACTCATTGTCGCTGTGTTCGGCAGCGAAATCTGTCGGGGGAAGGTCCATGATGTCGCCGCGACCAAGAAGAGGCAAGTCTCCCCCTCTTGATTCTGCTGCACCTTTGTCGGTGTTCACAGACTTGCGTCGAATGTGACCATTTCCTGTGAAGCCTTTGATCTTCCCTTTATAGAGATTCAATGTTTCTGCTCGCGAATGGGGCAAATCTCTCCTCAATGTCGGCCCTTCATCGCCTTGCACATCTCCAGGTGTCTCTGGAATTTGCTTGTGCTGTGCCGTTATCCCTGCTGGGCGTAAAGTCCCGTTTTGAATCCTACTCCTGATGGCATTCCTGAGTCGCAAAATCCTTCCTCGTTTCGATGTCGTCAGATTGGCAATGCCTCCGGGACTTTCACCACAACGTCCACTGGAAGCTTTTGCGTGACGCGATGACCCTTCAGTGTCCCGATTGTTACTTGCTACCCAGCCAACTTGCGAGTTCCAAGAGGATTGAGCAAAAGCCACATCAAACATTTCTCCACAATGGACTCCTTCAGCTCGAGCCACGGTGACATTCGTGGTACTGGTGAGGACGGGAGCAGAAATGACACTCCGAGCGACCGTGGAAGTACTGGCGGTCTTTGGTAATTGAGTGGAGATGCTGCGAGGATATGGACTTTGAGGGGGTAAACGCGAAAAGGGCAGCCACGATCTGGGACGCAGTCGATTTGTTCGACGGCGGGTGCTCTGAATTGGCAGCACGGCAGCCTCTGCATCTCCCTGAGTCTGCTGGCCGTCGTCATGATCTCCCGGTTCTTGTTGTGATTGAGGAGTTGACTTGACAGATTCCTCCACGACATGGCCAGGGGAAGTCGGCTCGGGCGAGGCTGGCGGTTGATTTTTGGGATCACATCGATAAGAGAGGCTTGACTCTGTTCGATCACGCAGCTCATCCTTTGAGGGAATCCGAGATGCTGGAATGAAAGGTCAGCCGGTGATAATGTGACTTCGAGAATGTCTTACCTTGTCGTGAACCGGCACGACTGAACGATCGAATAGTGTCAAAGGAAAAGATGGAGAATGAGCCTTTGCTCCGAGATCGTGTGTGGGAAATCATGCTGGCCGAACAACGACACAAACCTTGTCACAGGACGATCATTATCTTTCTGGTCACACCTGAGCCATGTGCCTCCCACGACAGCGAGGTGAGGAGGTGAAGAGGGAGGTCAGTGGATGAGCCTAACTGGAGGCTCCACGAAGCTGGACCAAGCCGCAGAAGCATATTTCGCGGAGCTGACGATAGCAATTGAATTAAAGCTGAGGAAAAGTCATGGCCATGGCAAGCCCATCCCGACGCATGCAGTGGCAGGTGCAGGCGCAGGCGCAGGCAAGACGAAGTGCTGGTGTCATTGTCATTCGGGAAGGAGCGATACTGCGATGATGCTACGAGGAAGTCATCCCCCCCAACCTCTCATTGAATATTGTATTTCGTCCTGCTGGCATCGTCCTTTGGTGTAGATGAACAATCTGCCTCATCTTTGTGTCCACGTTTACGATTCTCAGGGGTAGCCGTCGTAGTCTTGCGCGAAGTCCTAGCATCTCCCTATACCTACAACGACTTCATTCGTGGGCTGCACCGACAGTCATCATCAACCGTTCAATCAAAGTATACGAGGCATGTGCAATGGAAGAAACTCGCGAGGCTCCCAATGGGAAAACACCTTGGCTAATATTACACCATAGCCAGTCAAACAACCGCGGCAATCAACGGCCTAATCGCGGTTTTCCGGACTCGTTCCGGGGACAGGGACGAGGGCACGGTCTTCTTTGCCTCGATTATGACAGCCCCGCATATCGAGTCGAGAGCCGGATTTATAAAATCCGATAATAACCTCCTATCCTCTGCCAGAGTCGGACTATTAACGCAATTGACTCCCCTGCTATCTGAACGCGAGACCAGCCGATCCAAAGGAACCCAGCCATTTTCACCCCACCATTATGCCATACTCTCTCAAAGGCCGCAACGTTTTGGTGACAGGAGGATCTAGGCAAGTTCTCTGTCAGCTCCGGCATGAACACATGTGATTAACAAAAAGACGCCAGGGGTCTCGGGGCGCTGATCTGTGAGAAGTTCGCAGCAGAAGGATCGAACATTGTCGTAAACTATGTCAGCAGCAAAGACAGAGCCGACCAGGTCGCCGAAAAGTGTAAAGGGCTGGGGGTCAAGGCCGTCGTAATCCAGGCTGTGAGAAAGCTGAGCCACCTGAAACACAACAGGTTCCCCTTTCTGACATACCAAAACCCAGGACATTGGAGTCGTCAGCGACACTGTGCGGCTAGTGAAAGAGAGCGTTGAGCAATTGGGAGGACTTGATATTATCATTAACAATGCTGGCTGGACTAGGTTCACGAACTTTGGAGACATCTATGATATGAGCCATGCTGAATGGGACAAGGTATGGTAATGGTGCTCAGCCAAGTATCCCTTTAGCTCACTGTCACAGTGTTGGGCCACCAACGTCATGTCCCACCTCGTGTTGATGCAGGAAGCTGCTCCGATCTTCAACAAGAACCCGGATGGCGGCGTATTCATCATCTCTTCCTCTGTTGCGGTAGGTTGATGTTTCCTCGAACCAGAGAAGTTGCTAAAGTTGGGCCCAGGGTATAAGCTGCGGCGGAAGCTCAATGGCGTACTCCACCAGTAAAGCTGCAGGTCTACATCTGATGAAATGCCTCGCCTCTACGCAAGGGCCAAAGATCCGTATCAATGCCGTGTTGCCAGGTCTTCTCCTGACGGAATGGGTAGGTCTTTCTGTATTTGCACGTGCGAATGCAAAACAATGGCATTAACACCACCAATAGGGCCTGAAATTCAGTGAGGAGCGTATCCAGGCTGTTAAGAACAGCGCCGCTCTTAAGCAAGAGGTATGTCCGCTTCTCCGGATAATATCTGCCCAACTGACAGCCTTCGCAGACTTTACTTGACGACTGCGCAGATGCCTATATTTCGCTAGCGAAGAACACGTCTATGACCGGCCAGCAGGTTGTCGTCGGTGAGTTCCACGTAATGCCCATCCTTCCAGAGGGAGTCGCTGACGAAGACTAGATTCGGGTGTTGTCATTCGTTAGACCGCTGGGACCAATTTTTGGTGGAGGTGCCGTGCATTCAACGAATGGTGGTTCTGGAAATCCAGAGATAGGGTGGGAGAAACGATACAACTTGTACGTGCCAAAGACTTCGGGCTGTGAGAAGAATTTGGCACGGGCGGCTGCTCCTGCGCCTGGACCTTTTGCCCTGGACGAGACAGTGATGGTGGGAATGACAATTTGGCACCCCTCTTGATACGTGTCTGGCCGCGCGTTGATGATTAGAGGCTCTGAACTCTCGTTGACATTCTCGTGTGCAGCAATAATTGCGTAGGGAACACCAGCCGGCATTGCTTGCGCTGCCACCCGGACTTCTTCTGGGACGTCTCCATCTCTTATATCCCTCATGTCCGCTCCGAAATTGATACGGAGCACCTGGGACGGCTCGGGGCCGAACCTCACAAAGCCATGAAGAGACTGAAGTGCCCGGTTTCGCCTAAGGATCTCGGGTTTCGTGAGTGCCTCAAAGTCGATGGCGCATAGCTCGCTCGTGATCTTTGGAGCACGCGTCAGGTCCTTGCCCGCCATATTGCTGGAATCCACGGCATTGTAGGGCGGGATGTACAGACGGTTGCGGATGGCATTGACCAACATCTGGGCGCCAATGAGAGATAGGTAGCTCGTGAGTTCTTGTGCCGTGATGGCGTCGGGATGCGGGATTTCCAGCCCTGGAGGCGGCGTCTGGTCCAGGACGGTGCCCTCGTCGAAGCGCGTCGGGTGGAGCGTCTGCAGCGAGACACCGGTCCTCTCTCGACCGAGGATGATGGCCCATTGGATCGGCGCCGGGCCCGAGAGATCCGGGAGCATGGACGGGTGGACGTTGAGACCACCGAATTTCGCGGCCCCGAGGATTCGCGGCGGGATCAACAGGCCAAACGAGACGGCGACGATCAGGTTGCAAGCTGCTGCCGTGGTGGGCGGACTCCACCCCCTGAACGTGTCAATCTGGTGCACGGGCAACCCCAGCTCCTGCGCGGCGGGCTTGATGGCCGGCGGCCTGACGAGCTTGCGGCCCCGGCCGACTCGCTTGTCGGTCCTGGTCACGACGTCGATGGAGCGGACGTTGCTGCCGCGGGTCTTGGAGTACTGGGCCAGAGCCTGCAGCGAGGCCACGCTGAACTGGTCGGTGCCGCAGAAGAGGATTCTCAGGGAGTCGGAGTCGTCAACGTCATCACTTCTAGCAGACTTGACGCTGGACTTGACGCTGGAAAAGTGTCGTCGTCGTTGTCGGCAAGCAGTACCAGCAATAGCACATTTCCCAAAGCTCCATTTCGATACGTGAGCCCCGTGTGACCGGGCTGCCACGCCGGTTGGAAACAGCCTCATACGTGGTATTGAGCCCAGGAGGTTGAAAATCCCTCAAATCTTCAAGGTAAAGTGGTGTTCATAGCATCAAGTTGGACTGTGAGTTGAAAATACGGAGTCAGGAGTATCTGAGAATTGGTGAAAGCCCAACCCACCTGTTTCGGTAGATATCTATTGCCGCTTTATATATCCAGTAGAAAGTCTAAGAGTGTGGCGATATAATTGGTTGCTAATTGACAACTGTACTAAAACGGCTAGAAAATGTGCCTAGTTGAGAATTCGACCTGTCCCATCCCAGACTCTTCATTCTCACGCACATTCATGGACATGACAGGTACACCCTTTGCAGGCCCTTTTTGGTTTTCTTCTAGGGATCCCGGATATTAGAGGCACCTCTAACTCTAAAGGTCCGTCTCGTCAATATATGTTTCCCGCAGCGCTATGACGTCTAGACACTCGAACCATCTCTAAGCGAACCAATATACTCCGTATGCACACATTACACCCCTTCCGCGGCGTCGAGAAATCCCCGGTACACAACTCTGGAAGTCATCTACCGAGCCAGATATCGAGACCACTCACGGCCACAGACCAACTGCAAATCCTGACGAGCCTCCACGTTTTGATATCCCTGGAAATCGTTGGCATACTCCATGCGCAGACTCCTGGCGGACTCTTTGGTCTCTGCATCGGCCGCCCCGGTCTCGGCGGCCAGGAGACAGACGCCCAGGGCAGACGCGCCGAGGGGTCGGTACGGAGATGCGAGTCTGGACAGGTTGACGATCTCGAGGGAAAATTCGTGCGACTCTTGCAAGATCTCGGCCGCGTCGAGGCTCACGGCCAGCCGTGTCTCGTTGATGAGGATGGCAATGGCCAGGACGAGGGCGTAGGACCGCAGGAAGTGGCAGTGCGCCAGGCCGGCCAGGTGAGGCATTCGTGGAAACACACTGTCTGGGTTCGCCGAGACCTTCTCCCATCGCTGCCGGACGAGTGAGAGTGCGGGCTCGAGTTCTGCGCGGAGTGCATGGGCCTCTTTCTCCAAGTCGGCCAGTTGATCCCGGGAGTCCAGGTCCCCCATCAGGAAGGCCTTGCTTCGACGCATCAGATTCGGCACACGGGTCAAGCGTTGTACCGCCTGGCCTTCCGGACTGAGGTCATACAGCTGGCTATCGAACATGGACACCCACTCTTGGTCGGTGAAAGTGATGCGGCCATTGAAGAGGGAGTCAAAAAGCTGGAAAGGGTGTCGAATGTCAGCGACTGAAGAACCTTTGGCGCCTCCAGACAGTGACTCACCACAACGGCACGCAGACTGAGGAGTAGATTGGACTCGAAGGGGTCGTGACAATTGTCCACACTTCCTCTCAATTTGAGGATCTGGGCAACGCCATCCGCATGGGCGGTGATGGGCCCGTTCCGTTGCCATATGAACTGCTAGAGCGACTGGGAGTTAGCAACAAAATAGGAACGGTGGCACCGGGTTGTCAGGCCTTGGACAAGTCTCACCTGGCAATTCCACAGGAACAAAATGGCGCAGAGCGTCTCCGGGCTTCTCGCCTTGACGGGGTCATCCAAACACCTTCTCAGACTGGCCAAGGTTTGGCCGTATTTTTCCAGCAGAACGGGATTGCTTCTGGTGCCGAGCGGATCCGTCAGCGTCGCAAAAGCCGTCAAGAAGGTGTCGGTGGCACTATCTAGAGCCTCGTTCACGCCTAGACGAGCTGGGACGTGGTTGAGGTAGTCGCCGTACGTCCAGGCTAGATTGTACTGGACGCCAATGGTGGGTTTGATTTTATCTGCAAAGGCACTCGCGAGTCGAGCCGTGTCGTTGACTGGGGATCGAGATATCGTGAGCATGTCGAAAATCGGCGGGCTCTGAGCCGCGGACCCCGTCCCAGTCCCAGCAGCTTCTGGTGTCTGAACTGAAGCTTCGCCCGACGGCGTGGTTGACGTCCTGTTGCTGTTGTTGTCGGACACGAACTTGTACCGACGCCTCCCGAGTCCGACGCAGGGGATATTGAGCCGTCTGCACCGCGGACACGGGTGCGTGGTGGGATCACACTATATGGGGAAGAATAGACGTGGGAGCTTAGCATCAACACCGGACCTCATTGTGATTTTTGGGTAATACCTTTTTCTTTTGCTGCCGACATGCATCGCACCCTCGTCCAGAGGGAACACCAGGCATTCTGGACTGCAACCATCGCGCGCGCGGGTGGGCGACGGCAACGACAATAAACGACAACGGAGGGAAAACGAATATCCTTTCTAGTTGGTCTGGGGGAGAAAAGAGAGGTGCCTGCATACACACGTATACCGAGCGTGTGTTTTTAAGGCCTCCCGGAACGATTTGGTTCTCCGACGGAAAGAGCCGATGGAGATTGGTCTGGTCGGGGTTTGGGGATGGACCGACAGCACACAAGTACCAAGTACACAGCGTTGGCATTGGCATTGGCATTGCAGATCGCTGCGTTACGTATAATACGCATGGTACGTCTGTACCATGGACGTACAGTGGCACCAGTGGCAATAGGTTGGTAGCACAGCGATTGCATAGCCACAATTCTACTACATATACTTTGGAGCGTTGCTGGTGGTGACGGAAGGACACTGGAGAATACTCGTTACACGGCCAGCCTAGGACCATTATTAGGCATTTCCTCACATAGTATAGACTAAATAGGTCTTTAGAGATTTTCATCCCCTGTGGTCGACCACCAAGTTATCATTCTGTCGCATGGCTTTTGAAAAGGTCAAGAGGTACGCCAAAAGTCCCATGGAGATTTGATCAACGAGTCATGCGTCTATTTTCCGTGAGGACACAACCCAGTGTAGGGGGTTTAATTCGTCTTGACGAGTCTCGTCCTCCATGCCGCAGGGCTGACTGCAACCGCGTCGCCGCTCGCATCCAGATCAAACACGAAAAGTCCCAAACCAATGCCACCATACGTCGGCGAGTCACCCGCGAGCCAGTCAATGTTGGCGTTGTATTGTCGAGAGAACAGTCCACCCGAGGTGACATGAAACGAGGAAGTCCTGAACGCGACTCGTCCGTTGGCTCGATCAGATATCGAGTGCAAGAGCCTCACCGGACTGTCACCGAGAAGGCCACTCGCCAAAACATCCGTGCCGTTGCTGACAAAGTTGCTGATCACCAACCCGGGTTTCCCTTGTGGGTTGATGGCCAATGTCAACGTGCTGTTGAGATTCTCGTCTTCTGACGTGTACGTGCCCACAAACCCCTGTCGCGCCTCAGCTTGCGCCTCAGCAGTCAAAGCGGGGAGCATCTTTTCAGTGACGAGGTCCGCTATGGAGGCAGTCAACAGAGAACGCTCGGGTAGAGAGCTCGCGCCGATGATGCTGAAGCCTGCATCAAAGTCGGGGATGAGCGCTATGTAGCCGCCAAAGTAGCCCGAGTCGCCCAGCTTCGTGTAGATGTCGGTGACATGTCCAGTCTCCGGGTGTGTGTAACGGTATATCTCCCACGGTCTGCCTATCGAGTATTCGAGCAAGGCAGTGTGCGTGACTGGCTTCATCCATTTGCGTGTCTGGTCGAGGTCAA